TGTATATGTATACTATGTTTAATAAAAATTTAAAATTTTGCAAAATGCAGGCCAGGCGCCGTGGCTTATGCCTGCAATCCTAGCACTCTGGGAGGCCAACACAGGTGGATTCCCTGAGCTCATGGATTGGAGACCAGCCTGAGCAAGAGCAAGACCCTGTCTCTAAAAATAGCCAGGCGTTATGGTGGATGCCTGTAGTCCCAGCTATGGGAGGCTGAGGCAAGAGAATCAGTTGAGCCCAACAGTTTGAGGTTAGGTTGCTGTGCGCTGTGATGCCACGGCACTCTATTGAGGGTGACAAAGTGAGACTCTGTCTCAAAAAAAAATTTGTTTTGCAAAATGCAAAAAAATAATTGCAACATAGAGAAACAGAATACACAAAGGAAAAGCAAACAAATGCAAATTCATAATTTGAAGATTAGAAAAATAGATGTGATAAACTAAATAGTAATAATGGCAATCTGACATTACTCTAAACCCTTCTCCAGTGTCTGGTCTTAGGTCCACTTTTCATTTACCTATTTGCTTCTTAACTGTTGTCCAAAGCTGCCACTTTACTGGAAAAAAATACCTACTTGAAGGGAATTAATAATGACTAATTGCCATGTTCTTTGAGTTATTTTCTCAGAAGGTACTTAAAAATGAACCAATTGGGGCAGCGCCTGTGGCTTATTGGGTAAGGTGCTGGCCCGATATACTGAGGGTGGCAGGTTTGAACCCGGCCCCGGCCAAACTACAGTTGGAGGTTGCTGTGAGCTGTAAGGCCACAGGACTCTACCAAGGGCGATAAAGTGAGACTCTGTCTCTTAAAAAAAAAAAAAGTGAACCAATCAAAATATTAGAGAAGAAAAGGTCAGGCAGAGGAGAACTGTCAAGAAAAGGAAAAATTTGGGGAGCAATGTTCAACAGAGTCAAATGTTATAGAAAACAAAAGGAAAATACTAACAGTTGACCATAGGACATTTTCACCCTCAGAATGTGTTCACTCTATCTTTATGAATAACAAAATATTTAGGGAAAAGTAGAATTATAGAAATACATGCAATATTTCTTGATTTTCAGAATAAAACATACCTAGGTCCTACATGGACTGTTGGGTTTTTGTTTTTAGACAGAGTCTCACTATGTTGCTCTTGGTAGAGTGCCATGGTGTCACAGCTTACAGCAGCCTCCCAAGTAGCTGGGAGTACAAGTGTCCGCCACAATGCCTGGGAATTTTTTTTGTTGCAGTTGTTGTTGTTTAGCAGGCCCGGGCCAGTTTTGAACCCACCAGCCTCGGCTGGCACCATAACCACTGTGCTACAGGCGCCGAGCCAGTGGACTTTTTTCTTACACAATTTAAGAAGTATTGATTTATTTAAAGTGAATTATTCCTCTCAGAATATTGAAATTTCTAATAGTATGCATAACGTTTAACTATAACAGGTTCTTCTTGCAAAACGGAAACTGGATGGAAAATTTTATGCTGTCAAAGTGTTACAGAAAAAAATAGTTCTCAACAGAAAAGAGGTAAAATTGCAATAGCTGTTTGTCTTAAGCCCATTTTCTAAATTAACATGCTTTTTTGTTGGATGAATAATACAATTGATCCTTTACCTTTTTTTCCAGCAAAAACATATTATGGCTGAACGTAATGTGCTTTTGAAAAATGTGAAACATCCATTTTTGGTTGGATTACATTATTCTTTCCAAACAACTGAAAAGCTTTATTTTGTTCTGGATTTTGTTAATGGAGGGGAGGTGAGTTTTCTCATTAGTTTTCTAATATTAATAGTTTAGAAAAAATGGCATAAAGAGCGAGTTTTTCTTTTGTTAGTTGTAGAAAAACAATGCATTATCAATAGCTATTTGTTGAGTAGCAGTAATATTCCAGATACTAAGTACAATGCAAGATGTGGAGAAACAACACAGGGCCTTACACACATGGTTTGTATATAGTTGGGAAGGTTCATAAAAGAAAAGCACCTTGGCACGAAGCAACAGACAGACTTCATGGACATACTTGTCACCAAGCTATAGAGCATGAGTAATGGAGATCAAAATATTAGAATAAAACATGTTTTATAATTTTGATAATTGTTCCAACAGTTGCATATAAATATTACTCCAGTCTATCATCATCTAAAATTTGCATACTATTAAACAAATGAGATGGGCCTCTAATAAAGGGCTACGTGGTGACGTCAGTTTGGGAAATGCTTCATGTTGTATCTCCTTGGTGATTCACAGTGTGTTTCAGCATGTTAAAGACAGGAGTTCCGCCTTAAGCAAAGCTATGATGGTAAATTAAGAGAATTTTTTTTTACTGTGTAGTTTTCATTTTTGTTTGAACCGAATCTATTAATAATATTCCCCCCAATTCTGATTCAGATGGATATTGAATATGCTGTGGGAAATGCTGCCACTATGATGATGATTACACTAATAGCTAACATGTATTGAGTATTATTATGTGCCCAGCACTCTGGTTCTTTGCACTTACTATTTTATCTTCACAACAACCTTACTATATAAGACCAAAAAAAAAAAAAAGAGAGAGAGAGAGACAAAGAAGCTAGGTAGCTTATGGAAGACATGTGGTTAGGAAGTATTGGAGGCAAGAATTGAACTCAGGCAATCTGATCCTGAATCAGACAGATGGCCATTCCCATTCCTCTACTTAACCCTCACAATTTTCTTTCTTTTTAAAAATCATTTATGGTTAGTTTAGTAAACAAATGAACATTAAAAAGTCTGCTAAAAAATTTCATTGAAATATATTTTATACATTAGACAGTTGTTAAGGGAGAATACAGTTTCTGGGCACTTAATACTTAAAAGGTTTTATTTGCCATATTAATCTTCCTCACACAAGTTTTAAGTTATTAAGTTCCTAGGATGTCAAAGTAAGAAGAGAAGAAAAACTATATTTAAGGGGTGGTAGGGCAAGCACCAGCTTGGCAATAAGTCCTTGGTTGGCTTCATGTGTTCAAGCATCCTTTTTCTCCAGTAAAATTTTGTGTAATTCATCTGTATCCTTCCTAGTTTTTGCCCAAATTAGCATAGTGATTGGGATAGTGGTATCCTCCTCATCAGTTGCTGGATTTGGAACACAGACACTAAGTACATTATTTTTTCCCATTCGGGTACATGGTATATTGGATGAAATCAGAACATTCAGCAATATGTTGCTTTTTGTAGTAAAAAGCATCTTCTTTTACTTCAATAACTACTGCTTTGGGTGGCTCCTAATCCTCTTCATCTCTGCCTTTACAATCATTACTGCCACCTTCTGCTCAGCTCTCCAGTCTTTTAGTGCAAAATGACAAAGAAACAGGTTTGTTCTTTGCCAAATAAAGCAGAGTCTTCAGCCAAGGAGCCAGAGCTTAATGAGTGCAAAAGAGAGCTATCTATTATCTTGCCAAAATTAAACAAGGCACTTATTCCTTCTAGTGATGGGTCCATTTTCTTTTTAGGCACAACCTTGATCTTCTTTTTAGATGTATCTTTAGTTTTATTGCCATGGAACAAAAATGCTGACTCTTTCTGTAATTTTGTTCAACCAATAGGGAACGAGACTATTATTCAGCCACTGTCTTATTGGTTTTACTCTGACAATTACTCCTGACACTGTTTATGTGTGCTGCTGTTTAATAGTCTCTAAATATGTCTCATAGTATTTAAAGACAAGTGTCAGATCACAGAGTGGGTTTGCATTCATATGCTTGGCTATCCAATCCCGAATAGAGCAGTTCAAGACTATCAGCTGCTTGTTCTAGGTATTTATACGTGGGCTTTACTAGAAGCAAAGCCATAGGAGGGAGGTTGCTGACTGTCCCTATTAGTTTTAAGATTTGAAATTATTCTGTCAGCCA